AACATTTAATACAAGCAGGTTCCAATTCGAATACACCGAACGCAAGTTTATGTCGACGATGTTTTAGTTTCGTTACCGCAGTGTTGAAATGATGCTGATCCTCTTTATATTCAGCTCGGAGTGTTACATGTTTGAATTCTCCGTTCCCAAGACGAGCCTGAGACCTTGGGGTGACGTGACGTGCGTCTCAACAGCTCGGTCCACACTAAGCGCTGGAATGTCGTTTGTCAATGATCGTATAACGTGACGTCATAGCGTCACATTAGTTGCCCGCGCGCATACCATCACACTACATAATTACAACTTTCGAACGATTGCCGCAGCAATTTGGGGGATAAATTTGGTGATTGGAGTCGTGACGTAAGGCACGTGGAATGCTCGAGTAGGGCCTCCTTGGATCAAATGAAATACGAAATTTCGTATTCACGTGTCGGATCATCCGGTCCGGCGGGTACCTATTCGTAGAATCCATTGCATGTTGGGTTTAATTCGACTATAACTGCGTTTACCAATGTGTCAGCGATTTGGCATGCGGGAGGAAATCACGTTGACCCCTAACGTGCTTCCTTTTTCGGTGTCAGTAATCATCCTGTTCGTGAGCTCTCGGCTTAAACAATCGCAATGAATGTCTGTCTATACTACCAAATAAGTATTTACATGACAGATACCGATCTGCAAATACACAAGCTTCAATTCTGCATTGAAGCTACATTATGGATAGATAGTTTTATTGAGCATTCAAATCTAAGTAGGGCAACGCCCTCGGTGAAGGAGTAAAAAATCGAGATTGTTCCGAAGCCCAAGGAATGTGCATTAAACGGGCCATCCGGATTAAAATATTTCCCTGGCGGTATTTATAGAGCATTAGGTGTGTGTGTAAAGTCTCGGTCGATATGTGTGAGACAGCGTGGCACCGCCTCCGACCAGACGTGCTCCAACTTTGTCATAATCCCAGGATTTGGTCATTGGACTTTTCGGCCACCGAATCGCAAATGAGTAACGTGCTGAAATTAGAACGTGGAACAACGAATATGTGAGCCAAATACCAGCCGGGGAACGGCGCCTAGACTCGGATAGCAAACAATCATTGAGACGGAAATGTGGGCTGCTTTCAGTAATTGTTGATATTCTGGAATAGCTCACAACAACACGCAACTTTTATCGTCGATTGTGCACAAATCTGAAGCATAAGAAATATCGCCACAAAGACTTGATTAATGATAAAGGAATACTCAAAAATGTGATAACTCAGAAAGTAACGAACAACGACAAACGAACTGACTGATAAACGTGCTATAGAGATTAGCGTGAAATCGGCAGACCCTGCAACGCAATAGCCCCAAAGCGGTAGCAACCTTCTGGATTTATTCTGGGATGGTGATCGCGAGTACATTGGCCTTCTGGCGCGCTATTTTCCAGCAAAACTCACTGCAATTCGATGACATATCGTACGAATATACCATCAAAATCTTTGCAAGAAGTTTATAAATCCCTATGTCTTATTGGTCTTTGTTTTTTCCAACTCCTTCCTTGTCCTTATAAATGTTTCTGTTTAATTGTTGCTGAACTTGCTCGAGTTATTTACTTAATTGTAGTTCTTGAACCGGAACAAGGAAATCCAATCATAGTCTGTGATTTTTGTCACCTTTTCGAATGTAGGTAACCTTTCTTAAAGTTCAATCAAATGCAGGTCAACATACAAATATGTATCAGTGTTTTAACTGCAATAACCACTCAAAAAGATATGAAGGCAATCGTAAATGCCTGTTTTAAAGCGAAAAGTAATATGGTACCGTTTTATTTCTGAATCAGGTAGGATATTGACTCTACATAGAACATATTAAATTCAGATGACCTTTTGCCTCTTTGTATATAGCAACTAAAATATTGGCTTTAACTGCACTTTAATTACTTATTTCCTTTCCCGGTAAATACTATTACAAGATAAATATAAACAACGTCATAAGGAAATTGTAAGTTGCCCTTTTCCTAAGCCAATTAGAATTTACGATTTATACCGACAAAGAAAACTTTTGAATAGCCTAATCTATCTTTGAGGAAAGAAATTTAAAAAAGAAAATAGTCTAGCTGTGCCATATAAAATACCTATTAAAGCTTTAAGTATTGTAAGTCTGCTACTAAAATTGTTAGACTAAATTAAACTTTAAATGACAGAGTCACAAAAAGTAGCCATACAGGTTATCCACTATATGAAAACTATTCGGACAACCTGTTCATCATAGAAAACTATAACAGCGCCACTCAAAAGCGGTTCAGCGACATTTACTTGTATTATGGCACCAATAAAAATTCTGTCACGCCTGTGTTTGATTCGAGCCAAAAAGTTTGGTGGTGTGCGTGAAAGTCTATGTGTGCAGCAAGGGATTCCATGACACAGGTCACCGTTTCCGAGAACTTGAACGTCTTGAGTCTTGACGTTCCGATGACAGGACTGGTTTGGCGTTTTACCACGGCGAGGTAACATTGTGTGTGAGGTTGTCTCGCTCGCTCCCGAGCGGCGCGTCGCTGCATCCCGCTCTTGCGCTGATGTATTGGATGCGCGCACGCACGCGCCCTCTATCCCCTCACTTCGATAAGAGTGATCGTGTTTTGAAATGGACGCCGCTCGGTAGCTGTGCGGAAGGGGTTACGAATTTTCCATTGAAGATGTAACTTCATTTACGCTACAGAGAACGGCTTTTGGAATGTGAAAGGATTACTTGAACCTCTGCTCAGTAAAGTCCTATACTACATTCGAAGATATTCTTCAACTTCTACTATAAACTGGGATTGGAATCTATTAGTACCTACTTAAACACAATACGTAATAAATGCGTGGCTAATCTTTCGTATCATTTTTAATTAGAGCTGCAAACTAAAAACGGAATTCATTTCATGAAAACAGTCACAAAAACTAATTTATCAACTGTAAAACCTAATGGAGTACAATCTGTTTCCAATTATACAGCAATTGAAAACATTGCATGCTTTACCGCTCACAAAACTGCAAAGCTGGACCGTCACGCGACCGAAAACGAATGATTTGATTTATTTTAAACAAAACTGGATGTAAATATGGCCAATTAAGCAGAGAATCTTATTTAATATCCGACTACCGTATAAACGCCATATTAAAATGTAAGAACCGTTAAGTGGGATGCGTTTGCGGTGGATTTCGTCACGTCGGAAATGTGGGGCCACTTTTTTCGTTTAAACTCGCTGAATCATGCTTGAAACTTGTAGCTGGCTGGAGTATCAGGTCTCTGGCGCCAGGGGACCACGCCCTGCGAGCCTCAAGCACCTTCTATCGGACGTCATTAATATTCTGCAGCGCGGTATTATGTGCATGCGCATCTATGATCGCACCTGTTTTTGCGATATCTCCAACTTCTTTTTATTCTACATTAGCCACATTTTCTACCTGCGGGCTGCGGAATCTAAAATTCAAATTAAACTGCTAATATGTAGGCATTAAAGTAAAATGTTCTTATGTAGAATGTAATCGTAATAAGATATCTGTTTGCATTTTATTCGAAGCTAGCCAGTCATTAGCTTAGAAGCCGTATAGGCTTACTGCTCGATTAAGGGGATTGGTTAAATGATTTTATTAAGTAAACAGATAATAGGCACTTATACTAATGCTATTATGATTCATAGAGAAAAATATGTGTGAAGTTTGAACTCTTTTAGAACTTGGCTGTGAAACTCTATCTTGAATCTGGGGGCACGGCAGTGCCCCCACCAAGTCGAGCTAAAAAGCGGCACGGCCGTACCATCCTTTTCTCGAAGCAATTCAGGCCATTTTCGACCGCCTGTAACTTCGTTGTGGATAAAACTAGAAGGCTGAATTTTCATTAGCTATGCAGGCATTGTAAAGACACGGTATATTTAAAATTTCATTCAATTTGAACCAGTAGTTTAAGAATTATAACGGGTCAAAGTTACTTAATTTTGTCACTCACTGACTGACTCACTGCGATGGCCAAGTCAATATATTTATGTAAATCGTTAAAGATTTCCTGGCCTGGACTTGGTATTACATGGATCTCACAACTTTTTACCGTAGAACAACTGAGTTGCGAGACTTGGTTTTTTTGACAAGTATTGTTTTTGATGGGATTACAAATTGTCTTTATATCTAGCGCCCTATATTCTTCTTTATTTCTCTACCAAAATTCATTAAGTTAGCTAGTCAGGCGTAAAACTGAAACTGACCGGCTGTTACTTTGGCATTTATGATATAAGTATAGATAGTACATTATGGTTTTTACGACCTCTACATGGATCCAAATACGTGTTTACACACAAAACGAAATTAGGCCTGCTCAACTGGGCCCATACTACTTAAATAACTAGTATGAATTATCCGGTCCAAAGATCCAAAATAATAATAGCCTTCGTTATTTTTATTTTGGCTTAATGATAGTAATAGGTATGTTTTAATAGGCTCGCCCCTGCGCTTCGTGGGAAGAGCTGTATAAGAGTTTTTGTATGGTATTTTTTGGAGCAGTATGCTCTTGATTTAATAGTACACTGTGATTTGATACGGTAATTTTGGGTGCCATACTGCTAAAATTACGATGGTTATAAATCAAGCTGTAGAGGTAATAAGAGTGTGGTTACTGTATACTTGAAATAGGTAGAGGAACGTGTAATTTGAATTTTTAATCGATATAATAATATCTATCTTCTACAAGTTTGATTTTCTTCCACCACTTCTTTTCAACACCAGTCTCGAAGTCATGATAGAGGGCAAGATTTAAGAAAAGGGCTAACATTATAATTATTACCAGAAGTGGCTGATTTGCACCATCTTATTTAACTTTGACAAACGTCAAAAATCTGTCTAAAGTCCATACAAAAAGCACCCGTGAATGTTATTGTTACGGTTAAATAAGTGCAACTCGGCTTTAGTCTGGCAATGCAAATATTAATAAGAAAGGTTTTTTTAACTTCTATCTCTATCAGGCTTTGTTTAACCAATTTATTTATTGTTTCAGATACACGAAGCCACAAAGCTTCGCGGACTGTATCGGGAATGAGCTCCCTCTCGGTTGGGAGGAGGCCTACGATCCTCAGATCGGGCCTTACTACATCAACCACGTCAATCGTGAGTATTCTTCTTTTATCTTCTTTAATTCTTTTTTTTTCTTCTTTAATTCTGATGTAGAGAAGTTGTCATTGGTAGTATTCTGTCTTTTATCTTCATTAATATCATAGGTTGCTGCCTAATGCGATCTAGCATCATAGAAAGTCAACTGGTAGCTCTATATGACGTATGGTGCACCATCACCTGCACTCCTAGAGTTGGCTTTGGGAAGTTGTATGAGTTAATCATGACCCATCTATTATAAATCATTAGGCATTCTTATATTGAATACTTTAGTGGCTTTTTCTATGTAGAGACACAATGACAAAGAGATATATTTTAAGTATTGGAATCCAAACGAAATCGCACAAATATGACAAAAAATTAAGATATGTAGGTATGTGAATTGATTTGTAATACTTCTAAACGTCTCGAGATGTCGGAAACATGTATCATTTTAACTTCTGAAACTTCAACACTTATTGTTGTGGAGAAAATTAATATGAATAGCAGTAAATCAAGGTTTTATCTAAAGGCAGCGCCTCGGAAATAAATAACCGCGCGTAGCAACATTTTGAAGGGAGTAAATTGCAAGCGAGCATTCAGTTTGTCAAACGGTAGCAAATGGTACGGTCGACCGCACGTCAAAGTAAACACTGTGGTATCTTACGTAGTTGCGATAAGGGCGACTTTGCAACGAAAGTGTATAGTCTGATGTGCGGTCGTCTATACATTTTGCGGAGGTTATAACTCATCATCGAACAAAGAACCGTTTGGATTTTACTATTTATGTTCTTTGCAATTATGCAATTAGGGTGTGTGGACGTTTGTGAGATATAGCGGAGGCGGGTTGCTGATAACAGACTTAAAAAAATCCATATCTTATTTTAGAGACTCTCTAACAGAGTCCTAAAGCTTGCAAATTGATTTTTTCGATGAACTTTGCTCCCATAGCTCTCTATTGCGCTAGCTAGCTCTCTACTGAGCAGAGTCTCTAAAGGACGATTGAGTCACATTTAATAGATTAATGCCTGTTTTCACCATCAATCCCTAATTTTTAAGTATACCATAGGGGGTAACAAATAACAGGAATTTTGTTTACATAGGGCTTACTTATAGGAATTGATGATGAAAACGGGCATAAGAATCTCTTTTCTACTATTCACTCTACCTAAACTCATTTAGATTTTCACGTAGTTTTTACCCGACTGCGCCAGAAGGAGGGTTTTTTGAATATGCTCAATGTATGCCATTATCAGTGCAATGCGAATTTCAACCTAAATAAGTGCGTACCAAATTGATATCATGAAAGATAAAGGGTCTTAAGTTACCGATTCGTCTTTATTCGGCTGTGACCACTGTAACGCAGCAAAAACTATAGCTTCCGCTCTCGCTTCAGCAATCGCCACCACCTGTGAATGTAGCAGTCCTAGAAAAGTGAAAAATGTCCCTTGTAGGGGGCATGCAGTGGCTCTAGGCATTCTATGAATTATGGAACAGCGTGGAATCATGTACAGCATAAAATGTGGGGTCCATGAATTCGGTATTTGAAATCGAGGTAGACATTTTTAGTGTCCTGCCACGATGGATGGATGGGTAGGTTTAGCATTTCTTAGACTGCTGTATGATACTTATGGTGGGTAACATAACATTACAGCTGGATGTCTTTCGTAAGGGCATAGGATTTGTAAATCATCGGTATTTACGTATTTATTAAATTTACGAATTCTAGTCGTTGCGAGTTAGGATTGGACACTGCAAGCTTTCCTACTAGATTTTCAGAAAAGTTGTATGATTACTTATTTCAATTTCCATCATCTAAGTGTGCCATATTAGACGCCTAAATTGTCTAATTGCCTAAATAGCCATGGCAGTTGTCTAACACCACTACCAGGCTTGATCTTAGTTGGTAAAGCAGTCACTAGATTGGGTGAGCAAACTATCTTAACAGTAACTTTCAGATGACTTTAACCTCTGAAAACTTGTTTAAAATCTTAATAGAATATCGGAAAGTACATGATTTCCTTTCAAAATATTTTGCGTTTATGAATGAATCATTTCCTATTTGCGACTACTATCACAGTTGGAATCTCCCAATGTTCCCACAAGTGATAATTTACATGTTAACACACACATAACCGAATAACTAAGTGACACGACTGTATAAAATTATAATAATACCGTCGTGCATGGAGCGCCATGTCTTAGAAATGTCATATTTATGCAAAAACCTTGGGAAGCGTTTAGGTGATAGCAGAACAAGCTGTGCTACTGGATAGTAATTTTGTCTTGAAGATAGTTTAATAATCAACAATTGCAATTCAAATAGAATAAGTAATGAGACGGAACGAAAGGTACCTGGATGGAGTCACATGATCCATTGGCTCGAGGTAGACGCTCTCGATCCATGTGTCTGGATTTTAAACTCAGTGATTTTTCCACATTTTCTGTGATGATGTTATCACTGTGGAAAACATCAAACAGAACAGAAGACCAAAGTTTGGTTTTGTCCTGTTTTGTGTGGTAGTTTTGCTGGTTCGGGGGGCTGAAAAATTTACCCATATTTCCTGAAAATGAAGGATGTAGGTCCCTAGTTACTATCCTACTCAATTTAATTGATCTCAGTTTATTGTTTTCTTTTTAGACTTCGAGTAACTCGGCACAAAATTCATCTATTTTCTACCAAAGCTTCAGATTTCATCATAATATTAAAGGAGCTACCATATTTTCTCCTTTCTCTGTGTGATACGTAGAAGTAATTCCACCCTCAGTCACGTAGCAAAATGTCCCATCGAGCTATTGATTTATTTTCTTAGCCTTCAGCAAAACCTTTCATATGTAATTTCCCGGCATATACTAGCTATTAATATACAGGGTGTTGCGTCAGCCGTGCATTTTCACACGCCGCTGCATTATTTATGGTAAAAGGTAGTATCGTGGAATATATGAACTTTTTTGTATTAAAGCCCTCTTTTGTAGAATTTAAAATACACTGGATTATAACAAACGACATCGAATCTTTCTGCGTGATGCCAAATTGGCCAATATTCTGTTCTCTGCAGTGAAAATACCTAAGTGTCGTATTTTTTCTTGTTTTCAGTTAGAATAAAAGATAATATGCACTCCCCATTTATTGTAGAATATAATCTATGACTAATGTTTTGTATGCTTACCAAAATGATTTTACTGCTCATACTTCCTGTGATTTAAGTGTAAATTATGTATCTTAACAAAAATGCTTTATAATATTGTAAAAAAAAAATTTTTCCTGAAAAAATCCCCTCGTATTTTCCGGAATTATATTTTTAAATAATATTTTACACCCTGTATGTCCCGACATATCGCGATAAATATTACAGGCCCGCCATTCGTGCATTTCGCACACTGCCGCCGTCTGCATTATGTATGGTGAAGCCCCGAGCTTTTCCGTGCTTTCCTCGCTTTTCGAGCTTTACCACAGACCACCCGTTAGACTGGTTCAGGTAGAATAACCGACTTTTAATAGCTTTTTATTTATAATGAAAGACAGAATTGGATCTTGAATAGCGCAAGGAAGTAATTGGAAAATGAATATTTTAATACACGTAATAGCCGTAACATTTTATGCAATGTGGTACAGTCAGCATGAAATGTGGTAAGACCACTGCTTCAGACGCAGAGATCCCGGGTTCGATTCCCAGTGGGGGCAGATTTTTCTGTTCGGTTTGGTTGGTGGTAGGGCTTGTTCTAAGCCCGCCTGGCTAGCTACCACCATCTTACCTAAGTCTGTCTCCATAACAACAATGTTAACAGCATTGTTGTGTTCCGACAGTTAGAGGTAAGATAGCCAGTTCCTGCGTGGTTGATGATTCCGGGTGAAGCTCGTTTCCACCTTCGGCCTGATCATCACTTACCATCAGGTGAGATACAGGCCAAGAGCTTCCTCGTTGTGGATAAGAAAAAAAATTTGACACTGTATAAGGTCGTCAAAAAGTCGACGACAATACCTTATTTAACAAAGACGTATTGCGAACTTTTTGGCTACTTAGGATGTCACGAGCTATTTGACGCTGACTGTAAGCTTACTTTACACAACCTTATGACTACACAACCTTATGCTAATTGTAACAAAGACGTATTGCGATTTGCGAACTTTTTGGCTACTTTGTGTGTCACGAACTATTGACGCTCACTGTACTTACCTTAGGCGGCTCTTGCTGAACCTTAATCCATATTATGAACCATCATCATCATCATCTCATTATTATCATCCGTAAGCTATATGCGACTGTAAAGTCAGCTGATTTTAGTCCATGGGTGTCTTCTGCTTTATTGGTGACTGAGTTTCTTCCGCCACTTCTTCTCAGCACCAGCCCATAATGTTGTCCCGAAGTGGTGGTAGGGCAAGCTATATTTGGGACGTGTCTAAGCGCCCTGGAAAGGGACTAAGTACTGAATAATTGATTTGATTTGATTTGATATTCATCATCATCATCTTAGCCATAGGACGTCCACTGCTGAACATAGGCCTCCTCCAATGCTTTCCATGTCGCCAGGTTTGATTTGACATTAATCTCGATTGATTAAAAGTCTATGATCCTTTTTAAAGTCTCGAATGATTAAAGATATACAAAATGTACTTCCTTGACAGGCATAAAGGTTTATCTGCCATAAAGTATGTTTCTTTCACCTTCTAATTACCGTAGTCAATTGAATATTAAATATATGAATATGTGCAACAATAAATTAGTACAACTGGCAATAAGTTGTGTTATTTAACCGGTCGCTTTAATTCAAACAAGTTGGGGTAAAGTATGTGCATATTTACGGCCTTGTACTGGGGTTTAGTGATGTCAACATGACTTCGTATCGATATATCGATATTTTTATTACCGTATTTGTATCGATTACACAGTATTTAAACTGCTTCATAAGTCGAAATTAATCTAACTTAAGATCATGATTGGCTGAAATTATTTTCAGTCATAATATATAAATTGCGAGACTCATTTGTATATCTTAATCCCGTTTTTGAAGTTTTT